GTACTTCATATGAGCAAAAGTTGAGACCATCTCTCTCCTGGGATGTGTGATAGGAACCCACTTTTTAGACTAGTAATAGTAGTAAACTAGTAATAATAATAATAGTAGTAATGAAGGTCTGGGAGTATTCTAGTATAAATAGATGAGAAGGGGGAGTTAGTATTCAGGCTGTTATGACGGAAGTTGTCAGGACTGGGAAGTTAGAGATTTATTGTCTCTTTCTTTTGGGGGCTTCGGCCTTGGTTGCTTGATCATCTCAATAAATTTGTTGGTTATTTCCTCATAATTCTCTTCTATTTTTTCTGTGATCTGGTTGTGTTCTATCAGTGGTATCAGAGCACGTTGATCGTTGGGTGATCTCTACGTGCGCTAGGATGGAAAAACGATTGAACGAACTGGAGAGAAATCAACGGGAATTAGTTGCAGCTAAGGTAGCTATGGCGGCGAGTATAGCAGAGATACGAGCTACGCTAGCGACCTTGGTGGAGCGAGGTAAACGTCGATCGGGAAGCAGATCGCATACGTCGGACTTTGCGCATCATTCTTCGCATCGCAAATCGTTCCCCAGTTCGCATACTGAGTCGCGAACTAACAGGCGACAAACTCCAGCTGCTAGCGAGAAGTCTTTGCACTCTCGAGGTAATCCACATAATCCGCCGGTCTCTTCTCAGTCGCTAGCAGCATCTTACAGTTTCAGTTCACAATCGCTACTAGTTCCTCACCTTGCGTCAGCGTCATCCGCTTCCAGAACCTTCGACCTAGTCGCATCAGGAAAGAGACCCCAGGGGACTCTACCAACAACAAGGGACAACAAATTAAAGCGGGTTGCACCATCAGCTCGGGAATCAGACCCTGAAGAGGATGTTAGTCAACCTACAGACATGGGACAGACAGTTTATTTGTGTAGGGGAGTTGTGAAACCTCCCGAGTTTGCTGTTAAGGATGAACCTCTTGGTTATTTTGATGTTGGAATGATGATAGAATTGAACAAGATCAATCACTATGAAAAGATTATGGCGGCAGCAAATAACGATTCGGAAAACGTGGATAAGAGAGAGATAACCGAATTCATATCAGTCAAAATCAATGCTGAAACTGACTTTGTAATATTAATTGGAAATGCCTTGAGGTGGCAAGCCTATGGGCAGGGTGTACCAGCGGGACCAGTTGAGAAGGATGCTAGTGGAAGGCTATGGTCAAAGAGGGAAATTGATTGGACCACTAAGTGCTGGACATCAGGGATGACCGGTTGCAAGAGGCTTACAGATATTCTTGAAAATAGTTGGGCGTACGCTACCCGAGTGCCTGCTCTTACTCCACCTCAGGATATGCTTTCTGGTGAGCCTAGCGTTGTAGGGAGTGCTACTGCCCTGCTGAAGGATGTTTTTACTAGGAATCCCGAGACAATGATAAAACACTACAGGACTGAGCTTTCAATTGCTCAGCTTCTCTCAGTCATTCAGGCCTATCAAGTTTGGGTTTGGGGAAATATTGCTGGTGAAGCCACAACCTGGATTTTGTCAAACTGCTATAGATGCAAGCCACCAACACCATTTGACCTGGTCAAAGCTACATTGTCCTTTCTTCAACAAGTAATCCATTTGAAGGGTGAAGAAGTTAGGAAAGATGACTGTTGGTCACTTTTATATCTATCGTATGGATGTGAAGAACTAAACAAGCCGGAAAATATCCAAACTCATGGCAATAATGGGATGCTTGAAGAAGCTGTGAGAATATTAGAGAAATATGGGGCTGAGCAAGTGACGATGAAGGTTCAAGTAATGAAGCTCCTATTCCAGAAATCAGTGTGTGTGAAATTTCACTCAAGAAATAGGATGAAGTCAGAGGCACATGTTATACTCAGGCTGGACAAAAGTTCTTCATCTAGAGGACTAGAAGTATGGGAACATCTGATACCGCAACCAGCGAAGTACTGGGAGGGGAGAGGCACCAGGAGGAAGCTGAATTCCAAGCTAGGTTCCTATCTCCCCACCTTGAGGACAAGGTGGTTGTTTAGGGAGGGAGTATTGATAGGAACCCACTTTTTAGACTAGTAATAGTAGTAATAATAATAGTAGTAGTAATGAAGGTCTGGGAGTACTCTAGTATAAATAGATGAGAAGGGGGAGTTAGTATTCAGGCTGTTATGACGGAAGTTGTCAGGACTGGGAAGTTAGAGATTTATTGTCTCTTTCTTTTGGGGGCTTCGGCCTTTGTTGCTTGATCATCTCAATAAATTTGTTGGTTATTTCCTCATAATTCTCTTCTATTTTTTCTGTGATCTGGTTGTGTTCTATCAATGTGCGACCCAGCTCTTTTGCGTCACAGCATGTACGGCTCCATGGATTTGGTGGATTGAAGCTTTTGGTTCGCTGATTATCGATCGGAATTCAGATTTACTGTTCACGACCGAAAGGATTCTGCTGCTGTCTACCATATTTATGTTTTTCTCTGAATTCAAAGTTCGGTGTGGGGATCGCTATTCCTAGGCGCATCTTCCTAACCTTGGCCGGAGAGGAGGAACGCAGGGAAATCTGAAATTAATTTCTGTCGTAAGGAAGACAGGAAACCTGAGTTTGGGGATTTTACTGTTCACATGATCTTGGCTCAAATCTTTCCTAGGTAGATTTGAGACACTGATTTTGTACCCTGCGCCTGACCTGGGTGTGGGGAAGGCGGACTGGTAGCTGCGTGTAGTCATACGCACGCTATCCTTGGTTCCTGAAATGGTGAGGAAAAAGCAGGGAATGGGGGAGTCGTCCTCGCAGCGTGTAACCAGGTCCAGATTTGAGCTCTTGGTAGGGATGGATGAGGACCCCCCCCCCCCCCCCCCCAAGGATGCCGTTGAGACTGATCCTGGAGCTGCTGCTAAAATAAAACCAGCTGATGTAGCTTGTACTAACAGAGTGGGCACGTAGAGTTGAAGCAGAAGGTGCATGCAGTCTCTGTGCTTGTAAAAATACTGTATAATGCAGGAACATGTGAAGGGTACTACTGGAGCTGTGGATGATGCAGATGCTAGAACTGTGGCACCAATACCTGTCATGATTCCCACAGTTACTCCCAAAGAGAAATAAATGGTTGTCAAACCATGGAATACCCTCTTTAAGGACAACCGTGATCCGACACATGGTCTCAAATTGAGATATGTTCCACCATAGGGTAATTCCTTGGATTTCGCTGATAGGGTCTTACCATCCATGTTTGATATGTGGGGCATGTCTCGTGGGATACTTCACAGGTAGATTCCCGGGTCTTAAAGCTATCTATGAATTGAAGGAAAAATGGGGTGTGAAGTGTCTAGTTAGATCCCATGAAATAGGTTGGATTATTTTCAAATTTCAAAAGGAAGGGGATAGAACTAAAGTACTACATGAGGGCCTTACACGATTTTTGGGAAACGTTTAATGCTAAAAGTACTTTCTGAGGATTTTTCATTTGATGATGAAGAATTTTTAAAGGTGCCGATTTGGATTTAATTCCCTAACTTACCTATGAAACTTTGGAATGATGAGGCCATGAGTGAAGTGGCATCTATGGTTGGTGTCCCGTTGACTACGGACAAGATTACCCTAGAGAGGACCAACCATAATTTTGCTAGAGTGCTAATCGAGGTTGATATTTCAAAGCCACCCCCGCTATCATTTCCTATACGACCACCCTCCCGAAAGGTATTCAAACAACGTGTGGTGTATGAAAATTTCCCCAATTTTTGCTTTCATTGCAAAGAATATGGGCATCATCCGTTTATTTGCAAAAAGCTAGTGGAGATCCCGGAGAAAGAAGTAGGTAACAATGTTAAGGCTGCAAACAAAGAACTGGAGGCTGAAACAAGAGTACTTCTCAAGTTGTTTTGAAGGAGACGTTGTCCCAAGATGGGGTGGGAATTGAAGGAGTGCAAGGAAAGGAAGGGGCTAGCACCGTAGCTCCTATTTTCAGTGAGAAGTTTGCCCATAAGGCAGTAGATGACGATGTGAGTGCAGCTGCTCTACCACAGGACGAACAAGATGAACGTTTGAGGCAGCAAGGTTGCAATGCAGCTGCAATACTAAAGGAGAATCTGGTGGCAGAAGTTGAAATCACAGCTGCCACACCTGACCAAGAGTACGAAAGTAATACTGTAGCTTCACCAGAGAATGAAGTACGTGAGGGTAACAACAGTGTAACGAGAACCGAGGCTAATAAGACAAACGAGGAGACCGTGTAGGAAACTGCTGCCACGTTGGAAACCATTGTAGAAAACGCCGACTTGGGCCCGCGGAAGATTTATATTTGGGGGGAAATTGGTGGTGGAATCAAATGCAAGTTTAAGGAGAATAGGAAAAAAAAGAGACATTAAGGATTGGGGCTGAATTAATTAATTAATTAATTTATTTATTAATTAAATACTTGTTTGGCTTTTTCTATTAGAAATTATGTGATGTGGGGGCTGTCCCATTACTGATGCATTATATCTAGGTTAGTGCTTTCAAGCCTAGATAGTCATTTTGATCCGGATTTGATGCATTGTAAAATGCTATTTTTGGGTGCTCTATATATATTTACATTTCATCCAAAAAAAGAGTACTTCATATGAATCTTTTACTGTACGTAAATGTCAAATTCAGAACATGAGTAACTTAGGAAATTTCTATCACATACCACTTGTTTTCTTATAATCTATGTGAAAACAAATGGGAACCTATAGAACGGGACAGAAGAGTAATTGCTATTACCAACATGTTGGGAAAAGCCGTTACAGTAAAAAAATTGGGTCAAAATAGCTAAATTCAAACAGCTAATTACCAAATAGGGCCTTGGTCAATTCTGTGTCATCTAGTCATGTCTGATGTTTATATTGGTGGTTAAAAACTAATTATGGTATTGCTTAGTCAGCTGTGTCACTTCTGCCTTCTACTCATCTCTGATAGTTCATATGTTCTTTCCATCATACTGGTGCTTAAATTGTAATTATGATAATAAGATAATTATATAGTGACACATTCTGAACTTTCTTGTAGCCTGAAAGAATTAGTGGGAAAACATATGACTATAAGAGTGACATCTGGAGTTTGGGCATGGTGATTCTTGAGTGCGCTATTGGACGCTTCCCTTACATACAGTCTGAAGACCAGCAGAAGTGGCCAAGTTTTATTGAACTTCTGCAATCAATTGTTGGAAGTCCTCCACCTACTGCTCCGCCGGATCAGTTTTCTCCAGAGTTCTGTTCATTTGTCTCTGCTTGGTAAGATTTGTAATAACCTTGCCTTTTACATACATGAAAGACTGTTAAACACGCTCCACATGATCACATTCATCATCTTACCTTCATCCTAACTGTGTTTGGGGCACTGGCATGAAACTTATTATGTCAATTAGTTGGAGAAAAGGGGCAAATAAGCCCACGTACTAACCAGAAAAGGTCAAATAAGTCCTTTTATAAGAGGCTATGTCCGGCCATCGTCATTTGGGGCGGTTCCTGGTGGAAATTTTTGATGCATTTTTTTTAGCATATTATTCATCAAGTCTAGTTTACTCATACCAAATTTTAGCTAAAACTTCAATCGGGAAGACATTCAAATGAATTCTTGAAGATAATTGCGCTTTAATGCGCAGTTATCTTCAAGAATTTATTTGAATGCCTTCCCAATTGAATTGTTAACTGAAATTTGGTATGAGTAAACTAGACTTGATGAATAAGATTCTCAAAAAATTTCATCAAAAAATTCCACCGGGAACTGCCCAAATGGCGACGGCCGGACAGAGCCTCCTATATAAGGGCTTATTTGACCTTTATTGGTTAGTACGTGGGCTTATTTGCCCCTTTTCCCCAATTAGTTATGTAAAACTACGCCACACTCTAAATTCATTCATAAACATAGAGCCAAAGTTTTATGCCAGATATCTTGTCACAAAGTTTCAAAGCCATCATCTTGATTCAATTTCAACTTGTAGAAAATTTCAAGATATGTCGATGAGTTGATACACTCCATCAGTTCAAAAAACTGTCTTGTCTGGTAAAAAGGTGCAACTCTTAATTTTGTAAAGGTACAAGCCTACAACATAAAGAATCTTGAAAAATCATATTTATGATTGCAAAACATATTTGTGAGTGTATCTAAATCTATCATATGTTACTTGTTTGTAAGATTTTATGGAAATTAATTGGGAAATTACATGAAAAAATAAGCTTCATTTGGGGAAGTAAAACTTCTTTTTGGAATTAAACAGAAGTTTTCCTAACATGACTCTTTTTTGGGATAGAGGGAGTAGTCATGTTCCATTGCGAAGTTGATATCATAAAATCAACGCACACATTAGAGTGTGCCTAATACTCCACCATATCATCGTAGTTCTTATCCATGATTATGGAAGGAACAATGATTGATTATTAAACTAATTTCTTGTTTTGCTGTGCTGGATTTTTAAATGCTCAGCATACAGAAGGACCCAAAAGACAGATCTTCAGCTTGGGACCTCTTGGTCAGTATACTTTAGTTAGGTTCTTTTCCGTTCTTTCTGTTAATCTTTTGCCTCCTATTTGTGTGTGCACGTGCTTACTACCTGCTTTTTTGCACATTCAGAGTCATAGTTTCATTAAGAAGTTTGAAGACAAGGACATTGATCTCAGCATCTTGTTTGGTAGCCTCGAACCTCCAGTGAATTTCACACGCTAATTGTGTTTGTGTGCAATATGATCTTTGTTCCTCTGCACTGAGCCAGTGACTGAGCTTTGTGTGTTGTATCTTTCTTAAAAATTTAGTTTCTATTGTTTTTTATTTTTTGATGTGTAATATGAAATATGTAATCCCTGATATTGCTGTCTTTTTACTCTATTTTTTAAACTAAATTATACGGAGTATATATTTGTACTGCAATGAGAATCTTCAACCCTTTTCAGTTCTTCCTTTATCTTAGCATAAGTAAAACTGCTCGAAATTATGCACCACAAACGTTTTTTTTTGTTTTGTTTGTGTTGAAACAACATCGAGGTAACATACAAGCCCTCTAATTTTCCCTGATGAATGTTAAGTAATCAACCTTATGAACGTAAGAAAAAGGTAACTGTTGGGCCATGATTAATCAAGCCCACGAAAGACATGGCATGAAGAAGGAACGAGTTGGCCCATATCTAAGGAATATTACGTAAGGGAACGGAGCCCAATAAGATGAGGATAACCGATAATGAGTCGGTGGAGTGGCGGAAATTTAGTTTAAATAGGTTAGTCAGTGGAGACACCAAGGCATGATTATTCTTGATAAAAAAGCTTACTGATATTCTAGGGGTTTGTCCTCAAATAATACTAATTAAAACCATTTGGACAAAAAAAAAGAGACTTTTCTTTTAAGTTCCAAAAATAAGATTGAATAATACTTAAGGGACTGTTACACCCTTACTCGACCCAAATCCACTGGCCTGCTACAGTGATCCGTCACAATGACCAAATGTGCAGTGACCAATGTTATAGTTATCAATTGCATAGTTATAAAATTCATCCAGTGACCAAAAATTAATACGTTCCACCAATGACCCGCATCACAGTGACCAAATGTGACAGTTACTCTGCTTCCTCCTCCAGTGACAATTACCCCGCTAGTGACATTTGTCGACTGGTCAGTTACACCCACCCACCCACCTCGCCAGTGACCAAACGCCTCCCCCAAAAGTGACCAATGCCGCTGCCCAATGACCAATGTCGCCCTCGCCAGTGACCAACATTGCCCTGGCCAGTGACCAACCCCGCACTTACCAGTGACTATCGCCGTAACAAACCAGCGTCTCCGGTGACCACCATTGCCGACCACCGCCCCACATGGTCCACAGATTACAGCCCCACTAGCCCAGCCTCAACCCGCCCCTGCCCCCTCCCCAGCTTCCCATCCCCCTCTACCCGTCCCCTGCAATTGCCACACTCACAGCCCCAATTGACGGCCGCCGCACCCACTAGGCCACCACAGAAGTTAACCGCAGCCGTGACCACAAGGCGAGCGCAATCCGCCGCCGCCCTAACCCCAGCCATCGCCGCTTCCCCATCCCCAACCGTAGTTGCCACCATTCTAAATCTAGATCTGATTCGTCGCTCGACACCAGTCACTCTTCGATAATGTAGTCTATAAGAGTCTGCCGCCTCCCTCTGATGGAGATTACAACATCGTCGATGGAGAAAATCGAGGAGCAGAAAAGAAGAGGACGAAGAAGAGACGATTGGTTGTTGCTGCTGTTGCTGGTCACCTTCGTCGATATGGAGTCGCCTCCTTCGGTGTGAATAGCCGCCGCCCGCTATCGCATGGTCGCACCAGTGGAGTTAGGTGCTCCTCGCCTAACGCGAAGAAGCCCTCTCCTAACACGAAGAAGAAAGCTCATGCAGGGAAGAAAATGTCGATGAGCAGAATATTGTAATGGGCATTTTAGACATTTCATTTAAATTTAGTCATATATTCGTCCAAAATAAAAACTGCTCCTATTTTTGTCCCACTAGAAGCTGGGAGTACTAGTTCGGTCATTGTTTCATTCTTATACTTAGGGTTGGACTCGGGCCGGGTGGCCCGACTCGGAACCGGCCCGGGACCGGTACTGTTCCGGCCCGGCCCGAACCGGTGGCCCGGTCAGTGACCGGTCCGGGTAGGCCCGACCCGGTGGGTTTCCGGTCCGGGCTCGGGTCACCCATAACAAGGCCCGGGCCTGGTTCGGGCCAAATTTATTTATTTTTTGTTTTTTTCATTTGTTTGGGCTCCACCTGGTTGGGCTTGATGTGTAGGAGGGGTTTGGGGGGTGGGGGTGAGGGGGGGGGGGTCAGGGATGGGTAGCTAAGCAAAAAAAAAATAACCAAACCCGAGGCCCGGCCCGGCCCGGCCCGGACCCGGTGGCTACCCGGGCCGGTCCCGGGTCCAGCTATATAGAACCGCCGGCCCGGGCCCGACCCCGCCCGAGTCCAACCCTACTTATACTCACATAGGGTTGGACTCGGGCCGGGTGGCCCGACCCGGAACCGGCCCGGGACCGGTACTGTTCCGGCCCGGCCCGAACCGGTGGCCCGGTCAGTGACCGGTCCGGGTAGGCCCGACCTGGTGGGTTTCCGGTCCGGGCTCGGGTCACACATAACAAGGCCCGGCCCCGGTTCGGGCCAATTTTTTTTTTTTTTTTTGGTTTTTTTCATTTGTTTGGGCTCCACCGGGTTGGGCTTGATGTTTAGGAGGGGTTTGGGGGGGTGGGGGTGAGGGGGGGGGGGTCAGGGATGGGTAGCTAAGCAAAAAAAAAATAACCAAACCCGAGGCCCGGCCCGGCCCGGACCGGACCCGGTGGCTACCCGGGCCGGTCCCGGGTCCAGCTATATAGAACCGCCGGCACGACCGGGCCCGGCCCGGCCCGAGTCCAACCCTATACTCGCATTCGAATTCATCAATATATTATTAAATCTCAATTATTATTATCGAGTATTTTTCTTGTGCAATTCAAACAATTAGATTGTTGTTGAGATAAATTATTTCTTGCTCAAACAGTAACCAACATCAATAATCAGACATTCAGACCCCATAAAACTCGTAATATATTTCTTCTGTTCAAAGGAAAACATGTTCTATTAATTAAGCAATTGCACAATTTAGATTAGGGAAAAATAATTCAAATACCCTAAACTTTGGAGAGTGAGGTTATCATTCCAAACTTGCATGTGCATTTTAAAAACCCCAAACTTTGCATAAAAAGTTTTTTAGCACTATGGTCATATGTTATTTTTTTCAAAAATGTAAATTTATGGTATTAATTTCATAATTTAATTTTTTTATGTCAATTATTAAGCGTTGCAATTATATATAGGTTGAGAGTATGTAATATTTTTTACTCACAATGGAAGTTTAGAATGTTAGTTATATACTTATATCTTCACAAATGCTAAAATATTTTAAAGGGAAAACTGTCAAATCAATCCATCTACTACATCGAAACAGTCAATTGAGTTCACGTACTATTTTTTCAACCAATTAAGTTTACCAAGTTACAAAAATGACCAATTTTTCTTTTTATCCGGTGACCGATCGGTTTCCTTGTCAATCTACCTACATGGACATCCACGTGGCTTTTTTCCTTGAAAGCTCTGATTTGGCCTGTCCATGTGGCATTAGAGCCTTCTCCTTTTCCCTGCAACTCTTCATCTTTCTCCCCCTTTTCTTCTTGGAGTTTTGACCTGAATATTACTAATAAAAAGACGATGGACAAAAAAGTGACCTTTTTTAATTTCCAAAAATATAACTAATAACTAATAAGCTACAGTAACACGCTACAGTAACTCGGTACAGTGACAAGTGACACAGTACAGTGGCAAGTGACATGCTACAGTGACGTGCTACAGTGACGTGCACCACCTCCTCTAACCAGTAATCATCGTCCGCCGGATCGTCGCCGTCCATAGTGATGCCACCACAGTGACGTCGCTACAGTGACGTCGCCGGAGTGACACCGCCGCAGTGACATCACCGCAGTGACACCGCCGCAGTGACTATCAGAAAATTTTCCGGCACCTCTTTTCCGTCGTCCCACTACAAAGCCTAGCCGCCACTAACGCCGTCCACCACCGCTCCCCCCATCACCACCCCACACAACCAGCAACACCGTCTTCAACCTCTCCTTGACCCCTATCCCAAAGCACCACCTCCCCAGCCCCCTCTCCGGCCACCCCAGCGACCTCCACCTTCGACCACCAAACCCCAGCCCCCTCTCCGGCCACCCCAGCGACCACCACCTTCGACTACCAAACCCCAGCCCCCTCCCCTGCGCCATCCCAGCCCACAGTAGCCCCATACCCTCACAGCAGTCCCCAACCCCCTCCACCACTCGCACAGACCTCCCCCAGCCCTGCTTCCACTACCCCACCGCCATGAAACCTTCATCACAACCCCACAAGCAGTGTGCAGCCCCAAATCGAAGCTCCAGCCCTCACAGTCCATCCGTAACACCTTAGCCGTCAGATCCAGCCACCACAGTCCACACCTCACACCTCAGCCACCAAACACGACCAAGACCATCGCCTGTCTCAGGGCCTAGCTGTTGCCAGATCTGAAAATGCAGGGGAGAAAATCGATCGCCATGGCCATTCGACGCAAGATAGAAGGATGAGGAAAACGAAGGTCGGCTACAGACTTCCAATGGCAGTGAGCGACGAAGGTGCGAACTGAGGTGAGCGATGAAGGTGTGGCTTCGGCGGCAACGATGCGCTTTGACACTGCAACCTTGCGTCACGACGGCGATGGTGGAGCGACGTGACCCGGAGGAGGAGCTGCGACACTGGCGGATCTGGGTGGAGCTTGAAGAAGAAGACTTGGCTTGAAGATGGAGGAGGCTTGGCCAAACAAAAGGGAAAATGCGCAGATAAGGCACAGAGACGGGCGTTGGGAAGGCAACGGGCTGGACAGGTGAGAGATTGGATTCTTTTTAAATTAAATGGTCACTTTTTTGTCTTTTTATAAAGTTGTCATATTTTTGTCTACTAAAACCTTATAAGTAATATTTTTGCAATTCTTTCTTTCTTCTTTCTTATTCTCTTCGTCTCTTGCTTCTTCTCTCTCTTTTCTTTCTTTACTCTTCTCTTTTTTCTTGCTTCTTGCCTTCTCTACCTCTCCATCTTTCTATGCCGTCGACCTTTGCCGCCGTCAACCCCGTCGAGCTCTGCCGCCGCTGTCACCATCGCCGTCTGGTTTCCTTCGAAGAAGAGCAAGGGTTTTCGTCAGGTTTCCGTCGGGTTGCCTTCTCTGGGCATGGAATGAAAGAAGGTGGATAGAAGGTTGAGTGGAGAAGAAGAGAAAGAGGAAGAGGAAAAGGAAAGAAAAGAAAAGGAGAAGGGGGCGGGCAAGATTGCAAGAGTGAAGGGAGGGGGAAGTTGAATTGGGTGGGGGCGTGGGGTAGAACTGTAGAAGCAGTGGAGAAAAAGATGAGATTGACGAATAGGGGAGAGGGAGTTGCAGGGAGATCGGAGAAGAAGGGGAAAAAAGAAAAAAAGGGAATGAAGAAGGGGGGAGTTGCCGGCGGCCGATGAATAAGGGGGACGACGAACCAGAGGTAAAAAAGGAAAAAGGAAAGAAAATTAAAAGGGAAAAGAAGGGAAAAAGAAAAGGGAGAAAAAGGAAAAAGTATAAAAAAAGCTTAGGCAACATCCATGTCAGCAATAAAAAGAGTCACCGATTGTTTAACGATCAAATGACAAAATTGATTAAAATTTGAGACTTTGTGTACCCAATTGATCGATAAAATAGTACATGAACTTAATTAACTTTTTCAAGATAGCACGTGGACTAATTTGACAGTTTTCCCTATTTTAAATTATGCAATTAACACCATAAATTTATATTGTTGAAAGAAATAATATATAACCATGATGCTAAAAACTTTTTATGAAAAGATTGAGTTTTTTAAATTACATATGCAAGTTTGAGGTACCTCACACCCCTACAAAGTTTGTGATATTTGAATTATTTTTTCCTTTTAGATTATAGATACCGCAGCAAATATAAGAGCCATAAAAACCATTTGGTAGGATCCAATTTAACAAAATATATAAGCTAAAGCTATGTATCATAATTAGTTTAAGGTAGATTCTATGGTACCCATAAGGTACCATACCTTTGTCCACATGGACCAGTGAGAATATAGCAGTTGAATTATTTAAATCTAAATTAAAAAAGATAAAGTGGTGTGGTCCAATCAAATTAATGGTAGGTACGGTACCCCATTTTTTAGAAAGGTACCGAAGTTGTTACCTTAGTTTAACTATATTGTTTATTTGCAACATAATAAACAAGTGTAAATTGCGTAGCATTGAAGGGTGTCTCCACATTTTGGCTCCGTCATTTGTAAAGAAATTAAATCGCTTTTAAATCTCTTGCATGACTTCTTCGAACAATGCTACAATGGAAAGAATAACATTGCCGATATTATCAACCATGATCTGATGATCTTGAATGTGTACATTTGTGCAGGGATGGATTGGGGGGACCGCCTCCAACAATTTTTATTTTTTTTACTCCCTCCGTCCCGTTGGAATGCTCCTGCTTTCCTTTTTGGATGTCCCGTTGGAAAGTTCTCATTTCCCTAAATGGAAAGTTATCCTATATCAAAACAGGGTCAAACAGTGCAAAACGATGTCGAAACAGTGCCAAACAGTGTCGAAACAGTGTTAAAACAATAAAATTTACCCCCTGGTAAGTTTATTTCCTTAATATGTGTGTAGTTCAAACCGAGAATATTCCAACGGGACGGAGAGAGTATTATATACGTAGTGTGTAATCATTGTAGGTGTCTTCATTTTAGGAATCGCTTTGTACAAAGTTCACCATAAGCTCTATATCCAAGAGTTGCTTAGCTATACCGCTGTACCGGTATGTAATAAAGCTGTGAACATTGGTTTACAAAAACAACTTTTCGTATACTAAAAATGGGATCTTTTCAAAAGTTATGATTATAGGACCTAAGTAGGGGTGGACCCGGTCCAGTCCTGAACAAGCCGGTCCCGATCATTGGTAGGAGAAGCCCGGTCCAATCCGTTTAAATCGGAGTTTGGGCCAATTCCGAGTACCCGGGCAGGACCGAGCCACTCCAGGTCCCAGTCCCGGTCCAGACTCGATCCATTCTATTTTTTCATTTCCCTCCGTTTCCAAGCCCAAAACAAATGGCAGATATGGGACTTCAACCGCCTAGTTTGGTCACCAAATGGGTGAACTGGGACAAGATAACGTGCTTGGGTGAACTATGGGCGGTCCCAAGCCTGAACCGGATTTTTCGGACCTGATCGATCCCAAACATTTCTGAACTCAATTCCAAACCGGGTCAGGCTGCCAGACCAAGACCACCCTAGGCCTAAGCAATAAATAGATGATTTTTTCTGTATTTTTTCAACTCAATAGTTTAAATACTTTTGTATTCATGGCACAAAATTAAGCTTGTTTTGTTATTTTTGCCCAACTCTTTTTACATAAACTACTATTTAAATTATATACTCCATATATGAAAATCGATCTTGAATATGAAGTTACTGGTGAAAACACATACTCCGTATGCCCCTTGAAAGTTCACCAAGTTTGTACGGCACGTAAAATAATAAAGTAAAAAGCGTGTGGTAGATGTTTGTGCAGAAGAAAAAAATCACAGTACATATTGATTGATTAAAGGGAAAGTAACAAAGTTTTTTAGAAAGTCGACAAAATTACAAGGAACGGAGGAGTACAAATTAAGGGGCGCAAACGCCTTATGTCTAATAATAATTAATAAATGCAAAGCAGATTGTGTAAAGATTAAGGGGTGCGGCTGCTCTGCGCACATCCCCTAAAATCATGTTTATGCACAGCAGCGTCAGGGTGGGGGGCTCCTGGGACCTGGGGTGGGAGATTCCACCTTTATGGAACAATGTTTATGCACAGCAGCAAGCCCAACTGCGCAACTACAGCGCAAGTGTGTTAAGCTTTTCAAGCAAAGGATGAGAGTGTCAGTAACTTTAGTTACATTGGACAAAATGGCCGATCACTAACTCACAAAATCACAAATGTCATTAACATAATACGCAAATCAGACATTAGGTGTAAAAAAGATTCTCAAGTTACGGTTAGAACTGTACTGATTTGTATTCAGGTTATGTTTATACACATTTCTGTGCCTTTTTTGTTGTCCGGACACATTGATACAAATATGTTGTATTGGCATGTCACATGTCAGCAACAGACCAAAGATATGCCTCTTTTTCAGTTGCTTGTTTTTCATTAGTACGCTTGAACAATTGTTTCTCATATCCTACAAAATGAAGTCACAAAACACAGTATTATTACTACAATCTCAAAGTTGAATACGGAGTTAAAAAATAGAACGTTTCAAGAAACACAACACGAGAAGCCAAGTGAAAGTTTACCATTACTGCGGTCAACACCATCCCAGTGCCGCCCTGGTTTAATACCATATCGATTGGGCGCTGCTTCCAACCCTCTTCGAATCCAGCTGTGAGGAGGAACTTCCTGAGGGATTACAAAACCTGATTCTTTCATTCTATCATCTGAACCTAGGTCGGGCAGAAGAAGAGCCTGATCCGCTTGCTTTTTCTTGACCAAATGTGCCATTGGATCACCCCATCTCAACCTTTCCTTGAGCATATTGTCCAGCTCAGGATCATCTCTGCTTCTAGCAAACGGTTTTTCCTTTTCGCTTTCTAATTCCTGAAGCCTAGCCTCCATCTCACGCTTTTGAGCCAAACCCTTGCCCCATTCCAGCTTTATTTCCTGATGTGAAGATACAATAAACCATTTAATGAATATTTTGAGCAATAGGAACAACTGTATAAGCAATCACAGATGACAATTCACAAGTGATACAATCAATTTTTCGGTAAGCCATCAGGCATCTGCACAATGCACGGTTAACCTGAATAGATATATGATACCGCAGTTATAAACAACAAATACAGAAAAAGGGCGACTTGATTTACATGTAAAACAACAAAAATCCAAGAACTCTTGGCCATCAATCATATATTGTTTTAAAGCAATTTTACTTTTTTGAAAGGTAATTATAGGTTGAAGCATCTCTCCAATAGCAATTAGTTTAAAGGCTGACCAAATGATTGATAAACCAGATAATTCTGACTTAGAATTGTAGAGAATCACTAAGAAATTGATCAAGAAGGAGATGAAAAAAAGGTTTATTGATGAACGATGTGTTTACGGAATGAATACAATGGACAATTCGAGATGCCCAGTCTCCTAGCCTATCCAAGTCCCAAATACTTGCCTACCATTCTTAGACTCCAGACTTCTATTTATAATACTTCTATTTATAATACAAGCCCACTTATTATTATCTACAATAATAGGCCCACTTATTATTATTTCTAATAATAGGCCCATTCCTAACAATACTCCCCCCCTAAACAACCACCTTGTCCTCAAGGTGGGTGATAGGAATCAACCATGATCTCCCACTTGCACTTCATTCTAGCACCTCTTCCTTCCCAATACAACATTGCATTCTGGATCTTTAGCTTCAGTACTTGAAGCTGCATCTTCATGTTCTTCACTTCTTCTCTGCAAGGAGTAGTAACAAGGTCCTGGAGGCAGAATGTTCTCTTATGTTGCAAAAGTTTGCATCTTCCAGCATCTGTGTTTCCAGCATTTCAATTGGTTGTATCCGAAGTGAAATATCTGGATGCTGCTGCACACAAGTTGTCTGTGCAACCTTGCCAGTATGAACTTTACTTCCAGATATAACATATTCACTAATTTCTGAGCCAAAAAGATCAAAGGAAGAGCAAAAAGAAATACTGTGAGAGGAAACAAGGTCAACTCTGTCATCAACAACCTTGTTCATATCTGCCACTCGCCGTGCCCAAGAACTATCATCTGAACTAAGTGAAGGAGGGCGCAAAAAACTGGTCCCAGACATTTCAGAAGGATTCCAGTACATCACCACCCCACCAAATAAGTGTTTATAATCCACCCCAGAACACCCATGGGCCTCAAATTCTTCTTCGGTGACAGGAGAACGGTGCATTCGCTTTTCAACAACAACCTTGTCAGCAACTTTCAGATGCTCAGAATAATAACCTTGATCATAGCTCAAACTAACAAACCCTGCAGAGGATCTAATTTGATTTGGTATTTCAATTTTGTCCTTTTTCTCAGACTTTGATTCATCCTCTTCTATTTTCTCAGTTTCCATGGCAATGGACTGAATCACCACAGAAGTTCTCTCCCCTCGTTCCTCATCACCAATGATGAGTGTATCTTCAGAGTTAGGTTGTAGCTGACTCACCGACTGCTGCGGGAATGAAACTGACTCCACTTGCAGACGGTGAGAAGCAGAAATATGCGATGAAACCTGCGGTGAGTCCTGCGAACTGAGATGAGTCGCGCACTGAGCTCTGTGAACTGAGACCTGCGAATTGGTAGACACTGTTCGCGACTGCGCCAGAGATGAGGTCTGCAAATTAAGCAAAACTGTTCGCGAAGGCGCTGAAGCGGTTTGGAATGACATCTGCGAACGGGAAGCCTCTCTCGATAGAGTTTTACTCGGTCGTGAACTGCTGGCGGATGAAGAAATCAACTCAGGTTGAAATCTACGAATGATAGATTTCTTCAGAGTGTCCCAGTTAGTTTCTTCAGTCCGGTACTCCCACGAATGAAACCAGTTCAAAGCCCTATCTTCCATAGCAACCCTAGAAGCTTCAAGCTTCTCTTCTTCTTCAATGTCATTTAACCGAAAATACCTCTCCATTTGTATAATCCAGTTATATGCTCCCTCACCGTTAAACAATGGTAAATCTATTTTTTTGCCGGTGCGTACAGCATTTCTCGTATGTTCATCACAATGACGATGATAGTTGACCTTAGAATGAACGGAATTACCTCTGGAATGTACTGGACTGTGCGACGATCGCGATCGTTGACCACTTTTATCGCGATTCACACCAGAACGAGACTGATCAGAATTTCTCGCGTCTACCAGTCGCGAAGTGCGATGCGAAGGAACAGTTCGCGATTCCTGCGAACTGGTTAGCGATTGGCGATGCGAAGAGTGCTGCGAGC